AAAAATTAACACAAACAATTAAATTTAAATATTTCTTCTCTACTACTCAACCACTTCAAATGTTTGCAAATGTAATCCTCCAAACAAACCAACATAACCAAGATGATTATTAAAAGAGACGCTTATATTTGGTGAGTGAAATAGTTCTAAGGCTTCGGTAATCCTTCGTTAGCTATCACATGATGTATTAGATATAACAATAATCAAACATCGGAAGCAACAAACCAGGCAATCAATCTACAATAAGGCAAATTACAACACTCGGAGGTAATGCAGTAATCACATAAGCACGATAATCAAACTAACAATGAAAATTATGCAATAAAACATCGTCAAAGTGATGATTAGAGTTATAAAGGACAATGTACTTTTGGAGATTCTATGCTTGGAATAAGCCATTGCAGTGGGGCAAAAAGGTACTTTATTTATAGAGAATTTTATCTATATCATTCACATGTCATTGAATGCTTATAAGTCTTAAAAAACTTGTAACGCTTAGATATTAATTACTTTTAAGACTTAAAAGACTTATAATATTTATAAAGCTTATAATACGACTTTTAAGAATTTTAGAATATATTGCTCTATCCAAATAAATAAAAGATCATCACCATCTGAATAATTGATTTCTGCAGCTTACGCATGTAAGGTCATCCAAAATTAAATTTTTTGAAGGTCGAAATTTCCCAGATTACAGTATAATAAATATCAGATATTGTAAAACAAGTGGTAATTCGTATTATGGAATTGAAGATAAAATTAATAGATATGCATTATTTGTTGTGTGTTATGTATTATAAATTGTCAATCATATAGCATTAGGAAATTATTTATTGCAGTAACTGCAGTAACTCAAAGTTTAATCATAAGCAATTATAAAGTCAAAACCCATTAAAGTGAAAACTAAAGTACGCGAACATGAATATTATATAAAATAAGCTTTTAAATGAAGAGTAGTATAAGACATAATAAGTGAAATATTGTATATATATATCCAATTATTCATTATTTATAAAGATCTGATTTTAACCTTTTTTTTTTCTTATAGTTTTCCTCTCAAAGTTTTTTTTCTTTTTTTTTGGTAAGGATTCGTCATTCTGTTCTTCAATTTCTTTGGTTCTTCCTCTTGAACTTTTTTTCATTTTTTTAGGTAAGGTTTCCTCATCCTAGTCTTCAATTTCACTATGTTGATCTTCAATTTCTTAATCAATTTCTTGATCATCAATTTTTTGATCATCAATTTCTCGATCAATTTCTTGATCTTCAATTTCAGATTGTAAATTTACATTTTTACTTGAATTTGCAGACTTTTTAATATTGTTTTCATTATCAAATAGCTAATTATTATTTCGCATATCTGTATTATTTGAATGAGTTGGTATTGCTGAAGTCTCAAATGATTTATAATGATTTTTTGATTATATATAAACAGAATTAATATCATCATCAATAATATCAATTATTGATAGTGCATTTGCCATTATAGAGGAAGAGCTTTCAGAGATATTTATATTAATAGCTGATGGTCGTAGGTAGTTAATATCGATGGCTTCTATCATTATTTTTCCAGACTTTGAAAATCTGAAAAGTTCAGAAATAAAATAGGATGATTGTAATTTGATGTTTGAACCCATAGAATCTAAATACTTAAATCTAGACGATTTGTGGAGATATATAATGGTCATATCCATTCTAATGTCAGGTTTACTTGTGACAGAATTATATTTAACTGTTTCAACACTGAAGTGAATAAATTCTTTGACTTTTTTTGGTTCGTGATTAATAATCACCGAGTACATACAATGGGGAATGGATATAGGAACACTGTTTGTGTCAAACTCACGATTCAGATTTCCACCATCAATAATGCTCGCATATGCGATAGTGAAACATGGCTCTGAATTTTCAACAATGTATTTACCAAAGATAAATACTAGATTACATTTGCAAACATTTGAAGTGGTTGAGTAGTAGAGAAGAAATATTTAAATTTAATTGTTTGTGTTAATTTTT